CACAGAAATTATTAAAATTTATACGCGTTTTTTTTACGTAAAGGTATGTACAGGTACCTCAAACGATTTCGGACCAGCTTTGTAAACTATACCTAAAACATACCACGTTTGGTATAACGAAGTATACCAAAAATAGTGCGTGCCACATTTTTTAGGTTTAGGTACACTTTACAAAGCTGGTCCGAAACCGTTTGAGGTACCGGTATATGAATACGTGCGGAACGCGCTGGCATAAAAATGATTTGATACAAACGGACGTTATCGTTTCTCCGCTTACGAATCCGAAAATTCTATCGTGCGGACGAGGAAAAAGAAGAATCGATATTCCCGTTAGTTTTATCTCGGCAAATGGAAATTACTTTCGGATTATGTTTATCCCGGTAAAACAAACATTAAACTTTACGCACGAGAACTGCAGTTTACATAATCATGACTCCGAAACTGCTTTCCCTATAAACAATGTTATTTCTCTTCGATTTTGTGCCCGGTTCCGCTTGGTTTTGCTAATGGCCAGGAAATTTCATCGGACACGGTACGTTAAGCCGAAAGGTGTAATCATAGCGTGCCGTAGTGCCAACGAAATCATTACGAGAAAAAAAAACGAATTACAAGATCACTTAATTGAATTTCGAGAAAGTGTATAAAAATATTAATTATAAGACGAGTTTCAAGTAATCATTTGTTTCGTCAGTTAGGTACAAAAATTAGCATTCGTTTCACAGTTCATTACCTTGGGAAGGCAAACATTAGCAAATGAGCTAATGACTAGAACCGCAATCACCCTTCAGAAACAAGCCTAATCGTATGACTGTGAATACACCAATTGCATTTGCCAACGAGTAGTTGCCGATTCGATTACTTTCGAGGGCTGACGATACTTCGACCGGGCATCGATAGCTTTGAACATGCGGTATCAGACGGTTGGCTGTTTCAGCGAGCAGAAAACATTTGTAACGTGCGTCGCATCGGTTTAACGAACCCTAGAGACTCGTCTCACCACCGAGACGAAACGGAATTCCCTTTTTGAACGGAGCAATGAGCCGCGTTTTCTTTCCTGAAAAACCTGTACAGCTGGTTTTGTCGCGTTGCGACGGTTAACGAAGCGCGAAGTGAAACAAAGGCGAGACACGGCTTTACGTGGTAAAGTTCCCGTCTCCAAGACATGAACTTTATTCCAGCATGAGAGTCATTGTAAATCGATAAGTTTTCCTGTATCATGATTTTTTTTAGAATTCTGATGTAATTTGAATAGGATATTTCAAGCGATACTTGAATCAGATTAATATTTAAATGAACTTTCCATTTACCACTTTAATTTCAGTAAAAACAAATAGAAAATATTATTACGTTGCTCTCGTATTTTGCACAATACATTGTAATGTACGATTGCAATTGTTTTAGAGAAGTGGATTTTAATACGAGTGAGAGCACAAGTTTAATTTAATTTAATTGGATTCTTGGGCTTTTATATTAATTTTAATTCAGGCTGAAAGTTTTAAGTGAAAAAACATATCTCGGTTGTATTTGGTCCTGAAGAAGAGGCAAAATTGAATTGGCGCCGAATCAGAACGCACTACATAGTTCGCCGCAAACTGAATCTCATTACGTGGCCGCTGTTTTGTTTATTCAACGTCCTGGACAATAACTCAGCACGCTGTGTCATTAAATATGTTTCATTCTCGTGTATATCGTTGTTACAGTTTGCACGAACTGGTTGGAGAGTTTTATGCGTGAATGTAGAATGATGAATTTTAAATTGATTGTCGTTTAAACCGAAATGGACGATGGTGGCGTCCTATTTTGTGGATATTTTCCGTCATTACGGCTAATGCATAATAAATAATCTTATAACTCCTGCTCCGTTTATGCTGATTATTCATCAGGACACCCATTAACGATGATAAATCCTGCGCACTACTTCAAAACATGACGTGATTGTCAAATGATGTTCAAACGCGTTATTATTCAGCAGAACTTTATCCTCCTTAATCCGCTCAATTAGTAAAATCAAAATTTTAACAATGTGGCGTCGTGGAAAGATCGAAATTACTTCTTCACTCGTAATACAAATCGTTAATCACAAATCTTTATGCAAAATAAATCGTTTGTATCAGTTCAAAGAATACATTTTAGCAGCATTGAAATGAGCAGGTCTCATTGTTTAAATAAAACAATCATTTTGCTACAATAATTAGATATCAGAATTCACTATAAAAAGGGGAGTTTTTATTTTTTTATGTTCATAAACAATGAATTGTTTTACATTAATGATGAAAAGATAAATTGCACAAAGGAACTGCCACATGTATTTGAAGGCATCTATAAATCCTGATGGATCTATGATTGTATTTTATAGTTACAATGTTTCATCTATATGTACATAGTAATCGTTAGATTTATGAATGCCAGTATAAAACCAATGTCGAGTTATTTAGGATCTCGTTTTTCTGGAAAACCTGTCAAAAGAAAAATACACACGTCTTTCAGTTTTTATTAAAAATGGCTACGAAAATTCCATTTCATAGTATAATTGGATATAGCATTCAGATATGGATAAAAGTTTGATTTGTTAGCTGCATGTGGATTAAATGTTTTCATTCGATTTTCAGGTAAAATGATACCTATATCTTTCATAAAAGTAAATTGAATTTCGCGCTGTTATTTTGTATTATGCGTTCGCTGCCCGTCGATTTCCTTTTTGCGAGACACAGAATAACGCAACCGCATTTTTCGGAGGATCAAATTTATTTATTCGGACGAAAGATCCTCTTTTCTTGCCTCGAGATCGTTTTCGTTCCTATCCTCCAGCCAGGTTATAACTTACAACACGGGTTCTCACTTAAATTTCCTTCTTCGATCGATGGCCAGACTTCATTTCGAGACTAAGAACTTCACCATGGAAGCCAAATTTCTTCTTGTTAGACTCGATTTATATTACGCTTTTCGCGTATTCATATTACGCTAGTCTTAGGTGTGACGTTCGTCTTTTGTTTAACTCGGATTATTGTACCCTCCTACGATATATTTTTCAATAATAATAAATAATAGCATAATAATCAGAACTTTCATGCCCATCCAGTATATAGGTGATTATTAATAGTCCCATCATGTATGCATGCTAACGTATTAAAAAAATATAAACCAAACTTTAAACTTTGATCACTTGTGCATAAGAGTTCTGGTTATACATACATATGTATATGATTTCATGTTCGCACTCTCTGCCTAAGTTTCATCTATCTTCTTTGGCTCGTGTCAAAGCTTTGCCGTTAAAGGGAAATTGAACGAATTTCAAGGATTGAAAATTTGCTTCCCTTTTTTCTTACTTCCTTTGCCTGGACAATTTCAGTCGTTAAAGAGTCTTATATAAAAGCAAATTCAAACATCGTGGTAACACTTTTTATTTTTGCTTACAGAAAATTATTAACTAAATCGTTAGTGTTAATTTCATCGTTTTAAAGAAATATTTTCATACATATATATACATTAATTGCAATTATTTAGTGATTTAAGCAATTCTTGTTTGTGCGTAGATAAAAAATTGATTCAAATTGATTTTGGCGAGAAGCAGAGAACGGTTTCTGCAGGATCTTAAACTGAACGCAATTAGTTCAATTGTCTCGAGCCAATGTAATTGAAACAATTACAGAGCAGAAAGTGAACAGAAAGCGTTAATGGTATCAGTCCTACATTTAACGAATGAAATCCAACTTTGAAATAAAGCAAGCCAGTTTAAATTCGTATTAAACAGAAATTTCCGACAGAACTGCCCCGACTCCCTTTACCAGCTCGCTAATTGTAAGAGAATTAAAAACTTTCATTCATGCAATCGGTTCCGTTATTATACTATTTTTTTCTGATATAAATTAAGTTTCCTTTTACTGATATTTAGAAGGAAATAGAGTTTATTTTATCAAGCTTACCGGAGAGAATGTATTTTCTCTTTCACATTCTAAAATACTGATAATAAATCTATCAATCCTCTTATTGCATTTGGAGAGAGACATTTATTTTATTTCAATTCTAATATCCATAGTGGTTATCAGTTCCACGTTAAAAATTGAGAGGAGTTGACATGTTTGATATATTTTCCAATAAAATAGCGTGTGAAAGTGAAATGTGATTGATTTCAGTTTCCAATTCTCTCTACAATTTTCAAGAGTAGTATTGAATTAAAATTCAATCCATTAAATACATATTCATTTTATTATAAAATTCTAAGTTAGTTCAAGCCTTTTCTGTTAAAATAAAAAAAAAAAATAAAAGCATTTAATATACCGAATTCGTACAAAGCTTGTTTTGATTACCAATAAAATCACTTAATCTATTTTTTAATTTTAGTCAGAGGTATCGCGATTTCATCTCATTCGTTTTTTACAATCAATAATGCATATTCATGGATTCATATGTACGTTAATTTTAAGAGATAAGTCAACAGACACAAAAAAGGAATTTGTATTTCTAATTCCTGGATCTCGACTTACGTTAAATGAAAACTTACACTGTAACGAAGCGAGATACTTCGTTTATTCGAAGTTGGCTCGTTAATTTTCCTGCAAAACAACCCTGATACCGTCGTATACCACGATGGTCGATCCAGGCTGCCTCATAAAAATTTATAACTCGTCTTTAACGGTGTATATCACACGCGTATAGTCGAGCTGTCGAACCTGTGCGACGTAACGACGACCACGACGTGGCGTTAATGCTCTCTTGTGCCATCGTCTCTACGGGCACGACTTCCATTCACGAAACTTGAGAATTTCCCAACCTCCTGTGAAAATTAAAACGACGCAACGCTATTTTGCCCCTACTTCAACTTAACTACCATAAACGAGTACTTATTAAAATCTATCTCTATGGCCGAGGTGTTGTACGATGTACGTGACTTAGCTTTTATGATCGGTACTTGTATGTGGGGTGTAGAGATTTATACGGTATGCATTTTTTAGACTAACGTTTTGTTTACTGAGATTTGTACTTGATAGAATTTAATAGTGCTTTATATGAATTATGTTGACAAATTGGTATTTTAATAATGAGCAAAGATTTCTTAGTAAGAGTTCATCACGAAATTTTAAAATCGAATATATCAAATTCAGTTTTCTGGATTAACACATCGAGTGACGAAAGAAACATTTATTGTGGTCTCAGAAATGGCATCCTGGATTGGCTAAAGCTGCTCAAAGATGGTCCAACCAATGCCTCGGATTAGTACATGATAACGCGACTGGTCTCTACTTGGATGGTTTCGGACAGAGCGGGCAAAATATTTTCATATCAACAAAAAGGACACTCTGGTAAGTAAATACATTATAATCCACTTACGGTTACATTTCATTTTAGTATTTTTATACTTGTACAAAATTAAGAACAATTAAGTTCAGATTATTTAATCAACATGGAATTAGAATTAACAATTATAAAATTCACGAATAAAAAAGATCGTGATAGTTCCATGACGATATCTCATGAGAAATCATTAGATATCACGAAGTAAAACATCGAGGAATTGTATTAAAGAAAAGAGTGGTAAACCAGATTTCCTTGGAGGATAATCAAAGATTTCACCTTACGCGTTTCAATTATCGCGTGATTCGCTCAAGCACGGTCGGCAGCGTTTCAGTAGAAAAGACCGTCATTGTCCGGACGGGAAAGTTCCGCGGTTCTGATCGAAGTCGCGATTCAGCTTGTCGCGCGTTGTTCCATCTCTGCCTAACGATAAACTCGCTTTCGCATTGCTGGTCTCCTTAGGGAGCCACCTGTTGACATTCAGTGAACAATCGTCGCCGATGTCACTTCCTTCTTTGGGAATCGCTTTCCCGATTCTGATAGAAACCGTGCTTGTCATTGCTTTTAATTGATTCGAATCCATTCTTGTGGAATGAACAAGCATTTCCAGCTTTCTTTCGTTTTACAAATAAGTAGTTTGAACAAGTATACAATGCAGATTAAGAACCAACTTCTTTTTTTCGATTCTGTCAGAAGTGTTTCTAATTCTTTTAATCACTTATTTAATGTCCATTAATAAACTGTCGAAGGAATTTTTTCCAAATCTGTCCAGGAACTTCCCCATCAGAATGTGGTACAACGAGTACAAGGATTATAAATTCGGCGACGATGAGGGGAACGACTTGCACGAGATCGGGCATTACACGCAAATCGCGTGGGCCGCTACGCACTTGGTTGGCTGCGGCGTGAGCCACTGCACTGGTGGCACGGGTCCGCTCGGCAGAGACTTCTTCATGTACGTGTGCAATTATGCTCCGAGGTGAGTACTTTCAAAATAATTACCCATACTCATGATTATTCTTACAATAATATTCCATTCCAATCAATCCATTTTCATTTTCATCTTGTATCAAAGTTCAAAGTTTGCAACGAAAATACATGGAATATTTTTTGAAAATGTAAAAAATACCAAATCTCTCTAAAACACAGTAAGATCTGAATGTGTAAATGATATTTTGATCACAGATCGATCCTACGTTCTCGGATAAGGAAACATGAATGTTTATATAAGTTAATAAGTGCAGTAGTAGCTATTGAGTGAACGAGAAACGTCGCGTGAAATGAACAACGAAAACGATACAACAGCGGGACGCATAACAAAAGCTCGCGAAGGGGCTTCTGTGTTTTCCATTCGAGTTTCTAACGATTGCTCTCTCCCATATATATGTATGTATGCCTGCGTTTTGCTGCTGCTCTCTTTCTCTTTAGTCTCTTTGTTATTTTCCACGACTTAGTAATTTCACAAAATGCTACGGTTCACCGCTCCGATTCTAGTTTGTCGGCATGTTGAAGTCTCTATTTAATTTGGCCGACTTCTGCCAGCGAATTTTTAAAAAAGCTTTGAGGACTCAAGATACATATAAATAAAGTATACAAAAAAAGATACACGTATAATGCTTTGGAGAGTATAAGAAATAATTTAATATTATAAAATGAAGCGACGTTTCAAAGTAGTAATAGGTGAATTGCAAAGTTTGATTCATCTATTTAATTAAAATGTAATATTTTTAGCTATACAGAATCTGTTGATTTTGTTGCGAATTCCGTAGTGGGGAAGTTAAAAGTTTCTTTCGAACGTGAAAATTTGCGGAGTTAATCATGAGATTTTAAGTAACGAGAAGGACAGTAGCTGTCGATAATTATTATCGGCCGAAGCTGGTCGCAGCTGTTCTCTGGCTAGTACCAGGGAGTAGTAAATTTATGCGAACGGCACATTGTAATCGAAAAGTTTCGCGTTTCGTGAAAGCAGCGGCGGAAGGCCACGGGCATAATCCGGAAAATTGCGGTCGAGGCGAACGAATTTATGGGACCGCCCGACGCGGGTAATTTAAATTCTCTCCGCTCGTTCTTTTTCCCAACTACCGTCTCCTCCCTTTTCTTTTCTTTCTTTCTTTCGTCGTCGTCGTCGTGGGTGGATCGCGGCAAGGAAATATTACCGTGTACGCGTAGTTAGAACGGGTCGAGAGGATAAATAGAGAGGACGTGGGAAAACCGTAATTACGGGTGAAATTAAGAGAGGAAAGCGGACGAAGGATCGAATAGAGAAATTTGGCGATGTTTGCACACGACTTGAAAAATGGAGATTCAAGAGCTAATTTTAGGGGTAAATGTGGGAAGGCTAAGAGATAAGAATACACAGGGTCACGTCTACATTTGTGAATCAATGCTTATAAATAATATTTGTTTAACTGACTTTTTATGATAGTTTTACTGTAACACGGAGCACATTTCATCATACAATTTCCAAGGAAATTATTTATCCATGAATAATGAATTAATCTTAAAGACTCATTTGACCGAAAGGAAATCCGATATTCAGCTGTAAAAGGACGGAAACTGAAGATTGTAAAAAGTTACAAAGAAGACGAGATGAAAGTACGCATAAATAATGCCATGAATAATGATATGACAAATAGAAAAATCGAATAATCGTGTTATAAGGCTTAGAAGAAACTGATATAAAAGGATTCTTTTAACGAACAAGAAATCAAAATACTTTTTATGATAGTTTTACTGTAACACGGAGCACATTTCATCATACAATTTCCAAGGAAATTATTTATCCATGAATAATGAATTAATCTTAAAGACTCATTTGACCGAAAGGAAATCCGATATTCAGCTGTAAAAGGACGGAAACTGAAGATTGTAAAAAGTTACAAAGAAGACGAGATGAAAGTACGCATAAATAATGCCATGAATAATGATATGACAAATAGAAAAATCGAATAATCGTGTTATAAGGCTTAGAAGAAACTGATATAAAAGGATTCTTTTAACGAACAAGAAATCAAAATAAAATATAACGCGTATATACAGCTTCAGGCGGCTTTAAGCAAGAATTAAAAGGTAGAATGGGATATGAAGATTTCAACTAAAAAGAAGAATCTGAATTGGAATAAAGAAGTAAGAATACAGTATTAAAAAAGAATAGAGATCAACTGAGAATGGCAAAGTCGACAATTAAAAAGATTGTTATTAAAAATCGTCGATTTTCATAGAATAAACGGAATCGGGGTTGGACGAAAGGAAAAATGCGTAGATTAAATTTTGAAAAAATATTGGATCATGAATTGAAACAGCTGAAAGCGAATGGAGAGTGACATGAGGGTGCATTCAGGCCAACCGAGCGAATTCCTGGTCTAACCACACTCTAGCTCTAACTCCACTCCCAAAAATTCAATTGTAAATTGCTATTAACAACATGAATTTTACTGAAGTGAGAAAAGAACACTGATTCGCTCAGCAAGTTTATTCAACCTAATGGATCTCTGAAAAGGAAACAAAAACCGAGAAGGAAAAGTGGAAACGATGAATCATGATGAAGTGGCGAAAGAAGTCGCAAATGTATATTAAACGAAGAACAATAAAATTTTCGAATAAATTGTTCATTCTTCTAGAAGATTGATGGGATCATAATGACCATAGAATAGTAAAGAATTTGTAGAGTTATATTAACACATTCCCTGCATTTAATTAATTGGATTAATCCAAACACAGGACGTATGTCTACTATTTAACATTTAATATGATGAATACGTTTATTGATAAATACCTTATTATAAAGTTTCTGTTTTGAGAGTTGTTAATCTGATTATCATTTTCACTTTTGGTTTCGCGGTACGAACTCCAACATCAAAAAATATATAGACAGAGGGAGAGAGACAGAGAGATGGAAATGAGAAGTTAAATCTCGACGTACACATAAAAATATGCGTGCGTTCCTTCCTCTTGTACGCATCCGGTGTTGCTTTTTACCGAGAAAAGAGAAAGAGAGCGGGCACGTCCTCCTTCATGAAGATTCTGCTTGACATCTGACCCACTTCTCGTCTCGTACAGGCCAGCCACTTTTTCGTCACCCTTTATACTGTGTACGTGTCAGAGCTATTGTTTTAACCGCGAAATCGTGTCATATATCATGGTTCAAAAAATTGTTGAGGAATCTCCCTTGCGTATTGATTTATCAAGTTTCAAGTACATAAAAAACATTTCTACTGATATAAAAATTGTGTCAGATAGAATATAGTCTGCTATTTAGTTTAATGATTATTTTTCACGTTAGTACACGAAGTTGAAAATGATAAAACTGTTACTGATTATGGCACATTATCCATGCGTTACGGCGTATAATGTTCTGCGGTGATGTACTAAAACGCTGTGCAATGCAAGGGCACATTTTCGAAATTAATTTTATTCCCCTGCGGATTACGTTCCAAGGATCTAGCCCGTGTTTTCTTTTACGCAGCAAGCGGATTCGAAATGTTTATTTTAAAAATTGCTATTCTTTATTTTACAGTTCTTCGGACGTGTTACCAGAAATTAAACTTTATACAATCAGAGATAATGAAGCAATCAATTTGATTGAAAAGTCATCATTTTTATTGCAATGTTCGAATAACTATCCGCAAGAAGTATACTTAGTATAATTATAACGTAGATTGAAATTGCGAGCTGGCTCAGGGGATCAGTACCTGGTTCTCCTATTTGTTGGGAAGAGCATACGCAGTTGCAAAGACCGACGACTGTGAACTGCAATCATGGGGAACGTCGCGAAACGTCACAGACTTAATTGTCTGAAAGTAAAGTTAAGAGAAGAACAAGGATTGCTGAGAAGGGGGAAGGCTGGGAGTCGAAGCCGGGTGAACGCGGGGGGGTTATTACTGGGGGATTTGTCACGCGGGCGAACGAGTAGGGGGGCTCGAGTGAAATTGATGGGAGAGAAATGAGTGGAGCCTTGGGAAGTCTTTTGTCGCGTTCTTGGAAAATGGAGAGAATTCGCGTTGATTGCAAGACCCGAGAACTGCTCTTTTGTTTTCTTTGAAAGAAGTGCGGTTCGCAATTGCTCAGAATATTTTAGATAAAGGCAGCTGAAAAATGAGATCCAAAAAATCATTTACAAGTACTTAAAAACAATCTCTGCGCATGCTTAGTCTTCCTAACAAAGCATTCAGAAATTTCTTGAACAAAAAGAGTAAAACTAATGTTACCGTCAAGCAAGTTAGAAGTAGATGAATTTACAAAAACATTAAGTGATCTAGCGGACGTTATTAACAAAGGTTTAGTCGTACTGTTATTAACATAGACATTTCACTGTAATTACAGAGTCTTACGCATCGCAGTCGTTGTTTAAGATAATTGGAACGATTGATTGTTTACAGCGGTAACCAGAAGGGCCACCTCGGTCACCCGTACACACCCGGCAAGCCGTGTAGCATGTGCAAAGATCACTGCTCGCGAAACAAACTGTGCACGAACGCGTGCTACTATACGGATCTCTGGTCGAACTGCGCAGAGCTAGTCAGGACATTCCGTTCCTGGGTTTGCGAGACGAACACGAACGAGGGACGGGAACGGCGAAAGTTTTGCGGTGCCACATGCAACTGTAAGGACAAGATCTACTATCACCACGGGTAGTGAACAGATTGAGCAGCGTGCACCATTTGTTCTTGGCCAATTTGCACCCGCAGCGTTGGTCAAACGATCGCGACGATAAATCACGTCGGTGCGGGGATGCATCGACGAGGCCGCACGAGGTACGAAATTATTTTCAAACCGTAGGTTAAGGTCGCCGGAGGGTTTGTTCGTAGTGGTGGTGGTGGTGGTATTATAGCGCGACTTGATATCAACTTCTGGCAAAAAGTTTCCGTTTGGACGATGTAGTACGCGACTGATTAAGAGTGTTATAGGAGATAATTAATCAAACGTAATAATTGTTATTTCTGTAGAAAACCATTCATACTAAAAACCAACTGCGCTGTTATAAATTGTAGCTAATTTACAAATAATACATAATTTCAAGATTTCTTACAGCAAGTGAAAATTAAAATATTAAGCACTGTGTATTTTCATAAATTTTTTGCCAGAGGTATACACAGATTGATAGCGGAGCAAAGGGAAATTTTTCTGCTAATAAAATTTTAATCAATATTCGCTGGTGACGTGCTTATGTCTTTTAAAAGGCGTGGTAGCACAATAAAATCGGGAAGCATATGAGAAAGTAAATTTAACTGAAACTGAGCTTGTCTTCAGTTAGGAAGTCTGAACTTCCCCGAGTTTAATATATGACGTTGACCATTCCGTTTATAACTAAACGTCGAGCGAGATATTCTGTTTTCACGAACAAACTTGAATTAAGATTAAACGCGGACGCGTTTCCTGAATATATATTCTTCGAATACGCAGTATAACTGTTCCGTTGCTTCTATTTCAAGTGGATAACGTCACGAGTTTGAATAAGTCAGGAGAAACAAGCGTTTGATTCGTTTCAATTAATTGAAGGAGAAAGAATATGTGGCACGGATAAGTAGAATTGGACTGTCGTCGGTGGTCAGACATCTGTTTGAGAATTTCTCTTTGTTCAGTAATCACTTTGAACGTCGTCGACCCCCGGAAATTTGACTCCATTTTCAGCGAACACCCTCGTGGCTCGCTTCTCTTAGGGGTCGGGAAGAAACCGAGCCCGAAGGCGAACCGCGAAGGGAAAGGAAATGCGAGGATAAGGGATGAGTTTCGTGGTCTGGCGATAACGGATAGAATCAGGCGAATCCTTTTGATATTTGTAAACAATAAGAATGTCTATATATACGTACGTATATGCATATAAACGTATACATATAGTATATATATAAAAGGTGCATGCAGTGTGTAAATAATTATACGTGAATGAGAAGAGAAAAGAAAAACAATACTTTGTAGATGACCGTGACAGGTGTATTTCGGTGCTGTGTTAGAATATCGTCGTTTGATTCCGGACACTCAGCGAGCTCTCAAAGAATGTGATTGATTAATTTACCGATAATACGATTCATTAATCCATGACCTGTTACGGTTATAGGAGATGGTACTAATTTTATCAAGTAAAAAGTGAACAATTAAATGTACCACACTGTACCACAATGTTCATCAGATCTTTTATCTGAGACAAAAATAGTATTTTGGTATTTGATTTTAACTAATATATACAACATGACAAGTTACAGTATTTTGTTTGAATGAAAATTTACAAAATTAGCAGTTGACTTTTATTTCACGTGAATTACTTTTATTGACAGGCTTGTGCGTTGCCTAAACGTGGGACTAAAAAAAGATGTATTATATAAACATAGCCGGAACTTCTATCTTAAACGATGTTTAGCGATGTAAGTTAATGCAATAGTGAATGTATAACACAGAAATCTCGAGACGTTATTTCCCATTAATATCATTCGATTTCGGGAAAACTGTATAACTGTCTCTCGAGTACTTATGAATGCAAATCGCTTTGTCGTCCATGAAGACTGTAAATAAATTTGGATCTATATATATATCTATTGCGACGATTGTCAGACAATACATGACTCTAATACTGTGAATCATCATGGAAATAACTCGGCTATTAAATCATTTACCCCAGTTTGGAACAGTAACAAGGCATAATTGTTTTGGGGATATTGAGAATTGATATTGCATTCACGAGTGCTCGGAATAAGAGTATACATTTTTGAGTGTGCGATAAGTACTACAACCAAGCTTTTTTTTTGAATGGAAAAAGTTTTCTTAATTTATTATTCTCTTTTATCGATGGCGTCTCCATTGAAAGTTATAAACGTGCATGACATATAAATATCAGAGACGGAGGAAATAGAGTATAAATGAAGTTGCGGAATATAGAAAAACGGACCGAGTTTAATTTTCGGTTTTTGAAAATCGGAAAATGAAAGCAATAGAGTTTGTGAGCAGTGAAGAGTGCAATTTATGTAAGGCATATAAATAAGAATGTAACGCAAAGTGTACGTAATTTAACTGGGCTGATGACTAATATTGAGAGATTGAAATTAATGTTACTGACAGAGAATAAGATTAAAATCACGAGAACAAAACCTTCGACCGAAATCGTTGTATATACATATAAGCTGTCATACTTTGTTCACTTACCGAAATAAAGGTCATGTAAATACTAATTGTGGAATTCATTGCAATTCATTGTATTAAGAAATAGTATTTTCGTCTTTTATTTTTTAATGTGAGAAATGCAATTTTCAACGATTTAATTCTTTTTCATGTAAATTTAATGCCAAACGAGTACTACTTCTTACCCTTCAACATTTTTTGGGTACAAGAATAACTTGCTGCTTTTTATAACTTCGTTTGATGAAAGTATACAAGAAACAAATTTCTTGGTTTATGGATAATTCTGCAATATCTCATTCAACATTTTACAATGTATGCTAATGTACACGACATCAGCTTCCATCAGTGTCATTATTTTATCGTCCACCTCTATCACAGGATCATTCAGAAACTGAGCTATTCTTTTCAGTTTCCTCGACTAGAATCACCATCTACATTAAATAAAAAAATGTACGCATCGCAGATAGCGTACGCAGGTGGCTTTAGGATCAGCTAGTCTCGTTCACGGTAACGGTCTTTTTAGTAACGTCAGCGAAAAGGAATAGCGCTATACATTTATGAAACTGGAACAGATGCTCGTAGCATTATTAGAGTATGCAGTCTGTAAAGTTATAAGGAAACTTCCCCGGTTTTTATGATTCAATAAGGATATGGGTTTCGATTGCACGTTTTAAAAAATTTTGTTTTCATATTTAATGAACTATTTGTTGTCCTCTGTTTCTTAACCAGTAAGAAGTTAATCCTGTTTTTATGAAAGCATTGAATACATTAATTTAACGAGATAAAAATTGATTAATGAACGTTCGTAATATTTTTAACTTAAAAATGCTGCCCGCAAAAGATTGAACAAACAATACCACGTACGTCGACGCGATGTTGTATTGTAAGATATATGAAACGCACGGGTGCCGAGATTGTAACGGCGAACGCGAAGCCGCAAACTTTATCAATAAATCAGATTAACTACGGAGGATTCGGTCGGAATTAATACGTGGGACGTTATCTTCGTGACGCGCTTAACCGTTCGCTCCTATTTATTTCTTACGGCAGGTAATCGAAAGGATTAAACGGAATTTCTGACTGAATAAATCTATCGGTTTTCGCATTTCTGCGAAGAGAATACAAAGCAAAAGAGCAAAGAAGATCCACTGAATGCATTGGGAAAGCAGAATAGATTTTGAAAATGTTCTTTTACTTCACGTTTAGATAAAAATGTTTTATTTATTTCATATTGTCAGTTATGGGTAATACAAGATTTAAGAATTCTCCAGCTGAATGTGACGTGAATAAAATTCTTCGTGAGCAATTCTACATCATGCTGGCAACGTTATTTCGAAGAGAAACGTGCGAAAGTGTTTTCGACGTCGACTAAAGCAGGAAAACTGGTGTTTTACAAAATTGTTCGACGGAAGTGTTGAGAAGCTACCTTTTGAAAATAATCCATTGAAGTCATCACCTGGTGAGTAAATGCCTCTTCTTCATTATGCACATAATGTTAAATTTTTCACTCTAAATAATTGCGGTACGAGAAAGGCTTAAATGAAATATACTGAAGGATATGAACTTTGTAACACATTCCATATATTTTGCTATTATGTTGAGGTTCCACTAACACTAAAACTATACCTCGACGAACGCGTGCGCTATATCCACATAATTAGGGATTTTGGGAAAACAGATTGTTAGTAAATCGTTCCAAAACATTGAGAGTAGGGATGGTGAGATACAGAATTACAGACAAATAAAGTTATAAACTGCGGAATATTAGTTTGTGTTAGAAACTACGAAGCGGTGCAGTTTTCGGCGAATTATAGAATATGCGGTGTGTGTATAATGTTACTATGCAAAAGATATGTATATAGTTATCGTGCGTTCACATGAATTTTGCAATCGTAGTTCAATCTCAGCTAAAGAATCGAGGTTACAGAAATGTTTTAAACTTACTGGAGTAATATCATTTCGTGTCAAGATTATCCGCATGATAGAAATGAAGACGAGAATGAAATCACAATTATATTTAGTTCTTCTGTCGACTAACATTTCAAACTTCCATCCGTTCGCTGCTGTATATGAAAGCTTTGTTGACACGCTGCGTGCGCGCAAAGCGAGGCTATTTGCGAATGGGCATACGAGGAAAACGCGTTTTCCTGCATCCGAAATCGATCGGAGAAATAGGAGAGTAACAATGAGCCAGCGCTCTGGTTCGAGCTGGAAGACAGGCATAGCAGACCAATATTGGAACTTAATTTATCCGTAAGTGGAGCGTCGTGTCTTGTCGGTCGGTATCGATACCGTTTCGATGAGACCTCCCAGCCGAAAGTAGCTTCAATCTTCGTACGGTCCGAGAGGGATTCGCAGTTGATTCGCAAACAAGATTTCAACCAGGCAGCATCGCGCTTCGAAACGTTCAAACAAAGTGAAGTGGTCCCTCGGTTCGCTGATTTATCGGCAGGATTTTCTGTTCATGGATTCCTTCGTTACACACACCGTTGTTCTCATAATTCGAATCACTGAAACTCGACCAAATTGATTTCGATTCGTTGAAAACAGCGAAATATCGTTTTTATCGTATTCCTTTTTCACTGAAAACTCAGAATTCTAAATAGTACTACTAATAAGTAATTATAAAATATATCTCAGCCATGAAATCGCAAAATAAAAATTCTTTTACATAAAGAATGAGATTTAGATAGAAAATTCCTTGATCTTTTAAGATTTCTGATATGCAACCAACTTCTGATACCCCAGTATTTTTTACACATCCCATGCACGTTTTTTATTTCCTGCACATTCGATCTTCCTATGAATGTAAAAATCCGCAGCTTACTAATCACAAATTGTTTGATGGAGAAAAAGTTTTTGCAAATAAAATCTTCTTATTTTTTCATTATCCGTATCGGGAAGAGGAGTCACCCAATAAGGGGTCCGACAAATTGCACGGAAATTAGACGCGGAACAAAGGTCCTAATTGATAATATCGTCGCCGGACCGGTGCGGTGGGACGCGTAATTGCGCTAGAACGGGCTCGTTTTCTTTTCCATTAATAGAATCGCTTCTTCGTAACCGGCATAATAGGAAAGGAGGGCACCGGGTAGAACCTCGAAATTGAATTCTCCGAGCGAACGATACAACTTTGACCAAGCGGAATAATGTCCGCCCGCGGCGTTAACGGGGTAAGAGCTGATAAATTTGTTCAGGCCACAGCTACCGAACGGTGTGTCCGTTATTTGAGAACACGACGAAGGATCTTCAGAACCACCTTGTAAATTTGTTAACGATTAACTCATTGATGGTAATTAATGAACCGAATAGCGGTAATTAGCGAAATGGTTGTCTTGCGAGCTTTCGTCCATGTGGGACCTCTTTAGAATTTAAATGTTGCAAGGAATTACTAAATCGTTTCAGAGTCGTCTAGTTTTCTATCGAGTTTTTATAGTACAATTTTTAATTTCTTGCCAGAAGAATCTGAATATATTGTGATTTATGAAATAAAAATGTATGCGTTGGCTACACATTAAAAGATAACAGTTTAGTACATAACTAAGTTTAATATTAGAAATTCAAGCTAAAAGGATTGCGACGTTTTATGTAGCTCGAGGTTCATTATCATTCAGATTAACCTCGGCTCTATCTATTCCGTACAAATATATACTTTGGAACAAAACAGCACATTCCACTTTGAATACAGTGCCGTGACCATGCTAAGACAACAGAAAGCGTTTCCTTACAACATGGCGCTCACAACCTAAACTTGTTCGCGACACCAACATCAGGGCATAACGGGGACACGCTGTTTTCCAGTTTGATACGAGGACGCTGGGCGACGTTCCTTTAAAGCACGAGTCGCAAAGACAGCCGGAGGCTTTGCAGATCGATCAGCTGGCACACAACCGGGCCACAGGACAAAGCTGACGCAGGGTCTTTCTATTCAACAAGCGCCGGACGTTCCGCAGGAGTTTTGGCCAACCTGAATACGCTGACATAAGGTGAGTCCCCCGAACGTTATACATATATGTACCTAGGGGTACGTAGTCAGCACTATTTCGCAAGTCCCGTGGTCGCATATCATGCAGTTATTTGAAAATTTCTTCACGCGCTAGAATTTTGCTTGTTTGGAAAGGAATACACAAAAGAAAATCCAAGATGTGACCATGTTCAGTAATGTAGTTAGCAATTATCACTCGCAGTTAATTATTTAGTTAAAAAATTAGAAAGTATAGACAAAATGTTTATACTTTTTGAAGTTCAATAATTGAAAACCCAGCTTGTCACACAGTCTGAAGTACAATTTCACAAAACAAACAAACAGCATTTCATTACTTCTTTTTTGGATGGTTTGTATGGTTTCCTAGTATATTTTTCTCTTTCGAGAAAATTGGCGCAATATGCAACCGAGAATGTTTGCCCGTGTTTCATTGATTTCCCTCCCGCGATAATTGTCGTGATTTTTCCACGGGTTTTCCATCAGGTTGTTTGCTAGCAATGAACAAAAGGGGGAAGAGAGAGAGAGAGAGAGAGAGAGAGAGAGAGTCGCATTATGGCCAACGATCGGGTAGTGCTGGAAGGGTTAGTAAAAATCCAGTAACAACTCGACTGGAAAAGTTTGTTTCGCGGAACGCTCGTTCGAGAAACGTGCTAGAGGAGAGAGTTTCTCGTCGCGTCGGTACTTAAAGTTTTCCGCGAAGCTCGTGGTCGGTTTTCGTCGCGGCCCAGGGCACGTGTTTGGAAAAGATATCGGCGGTCTGAAACAGAGAGATCGTATCGTCAGACCGAAGTAACCACGCGCCACCGGGATTCGGATCCCTTTCGAGGGAAGTTCGAGTTGTTCTTCGAGCTTACTTTTCGCATAAAGTGAATCATTCACTCCTTCTATTCGTCTTCACTATTTTTTCCTTGCTTTTCCTAGGGAAATACTTATAGTTTTCTTAAAGGATTTTGCTTTAAAATGACAGAAAGAGAAGAATATAAATATACCATAAAATAAACAATAAACTTTAATAAAACATATATTTTAGATTTGATTTGTGGTTGATGTGGATTAAATGATCTG